CTCTTCCGGAAACGATGAAAGGAATATTTTTTCTGGACCTCGAATTTTTTCGCATATTAATAAGCTATACTTTATTTGAAGCTCCTAGCAGCCAGCAAATACTCTCAAAATTTACTTCTTTGCATAACCTGTAGAATAATGATTCGCATGAAATGCGATGTCACTGGACACGTGTGGATCTGGGAGCGAGGAAAGTTCATGAATCGCCGCTTCCTGATGCAGGTAAGTATCCACTTCCTTCGAATACCTTTGAGCTTTTTGATTTCTTCAGAGGGTGACCGCGAAATAAGTTAGTCACGACGGATCTGCTCAGGTGCTTCATCCGACCGTGTCCAGTTTCAAGAAAACTGGGGGTGGGATTGGGCGAAAATTACTGGTACGGCAAAATCCGTATCTAAGCGCACCACAAAGCTCCCTGGTCCACCACAAGCATTTGACCGGGATATTAGCACATCAAAACGGCTAGGGACAACGGCATGCATGCCAGCTTCGCCTACTTACCACTGCATTCAATCTGACATAAACTGCTCATAGTTCCAATCCGATCAGCATTAAAAATGAGAATGACTAATCCGGCATCACCACGACCACCTTCATCACCCTCGCTGCCAGAATGTACGGCAGCAGAATCTGTATCATGTCGATGGTAGTCATCGACATTGTGACTACCAATCTTTCTAGTCTGACCCTGCGCTCTTTACTTTCTCTTTGCAGGAGATGTTTCAAGAGTTTGAGAATGAAGTTCCCACATCTGAAAAGAAGGAGAAGAGGATGAGCATAATGCAAGAGGATGATCCTTTCTGGGAACCTCTGGAATCTCTTCTGGTGGGATTTGTGCCCGTCTTTCTTCAATCCCTGGCTTATGGTCTGGACTTCAACGATCGTCTGCAGATAAGTGACCTGGATGGCGCCGCAATCGGTTGGCTTGACGTGGCTCTGCAGCCCTGCTTTCGGTCTGGCAAGCTCGCCAGCAGTGGTGACGATTTCTTTGTGGACGATCCCAAAGAACTCATTGGAAAACCCTACTATTTCAAGGTACATGTCGTCTTCCTTTGAATAAATCGGGAAAGGACTTGTGGTAAATTAGATACAAACAACGCCAAGGCCCCTTTGCAACTGTCCCTCCAGCTGTGTAGTTCAGCGCTCGGCATTAATGACCCCTTCCAAAAAATTATCCTACCATTCTGGTCATTAAGGCCGCCATTTATACAATAGACATGTTCAAGAAGCATATGTTGGTCCAGTGTATGCTCTCCGTCCTATCCACATCGGTACGGTCAGCTATGCAGGTTCTATCTCCCTTTTGGAGGCCACGTCTTGAATGAGTTTCTCCTGATCTTAACCTGGCTGAACATTGTTATATATGTTATAGTAGTATTCCGACAAGACATGGGACTCTGGAATGACCATTTCTGGCTCATTAGCCGTCGTCAGCTAAAGATACCCAACTCCAGTGTTGCAGGTGAGATTGCTGCCACGAGTTCGCTGTTACTTAATTAGTAACATTCCAATTAGTGAAACATTGTTTTCCCGGAAGAAGTTTGAAAAGGGCGAAGATCACAAGTTGAGCAGAATGTATTGACGTCATACAATTTCGCGAAAGTTCCAATTAGTCGCTTTGCAAACACGCTCGGATGCATCCGAGCTCGCAAAGCATCAACGAGGATGAGTACGTCCTGAAAAACAGATCAGTGTACAATTAACTACTACTATATGCTCCCGATCTAAAACCGACAAGACAGCGAACGTGTGGCTCAATGGTTAGGTCGTTTGCCTCTGACCGGAGGGACGCGAGTTCGAACCTCAAGTGTGGCAGCAATTTCAGCTGCAACACTGAAGTTGGGTATCTCTAACTGACGACGGCTAATGAGCCAAAAATGGCCATTCTAGAGTCCTATGTCTTGTCGGAATGCTACTTTAACATAAAATTGTGTTACTGAAACGTAATTAGTAACATTACAATTAGTCGCCTTGCAAACACACCCGAATTCATTGTTGAAAGGTAGGAGCCATTAGTGGCCTTTGTGGATGACGTTCTCATCCTGCTCCTGCCCACTCACCAACCGGTCATCTCTTTTTGGGCAAAGTCAAGTACATTTTTGATAGGCTTCTAATTACTCCCCACTCGATGTAAGCATATCGATGAATCTGCATGCTGAGAGCTGGAGAAGCGGTCGCGTAGACTTTGGGTTGGACCATATGTTAAATACCTATAGTAGTAGTGGCAAGTTAGTTTTCTGTTAGTCATTCCTCTCGTTTGTTACAATATAGTTCCTACATATATCGTTTAGGTAGTTGGATGTATTTAAATAAGCTTGTTTCACGGCTGGCTATTGCTGGGCCCACGTACACAATGCGTTTTCCACCAGTGGCGGATGAGAAATAACTGCGAAGTCGGCGTGTTGTATTTACTGCTATTTGAGGTGTGGGAAGGATGTCAGACGGCCACAGTACGCAAATATTACGTATTCCAACGCGATAGTTTAACGCCTTTACACTTCGAGCGTATATCGTTTGCCTTTACGCTCATCTATGTGATAAGTTTTTTCCGTTGCAGAAACTGCTTACAGAATGCGTCATTGGCATTGCTGTTTTTAAAAAAAATATAATAGTTAATGGAGTTTAATATGTTAGAGGGAGGATTTACATCATTAGACTGTATTTTTTTAATGCAAAATATGAAAAATGATAGAATTGTCTTCATTGATATTTATGAGCTCAATGGAAATAAGTCTGTGATCATCACACTGTTAGCGAAACGTAATTGGTAATTTATCTTCTCACTCAGTTATATGATTGTCATTTATCCAATAGGCTACCAGCATTTCCGACATACCATCGCGTGTGATCTAATTATTTGCTTTCATACCGCTGAGTATTATATTCAGGACAAACACGCAGATGGCGTAAATAATCTTCACTTGTTATATCTGATTTCCCAATATTTTCTCGATTGTTGAATGCCCCGCCGATGAAGTTTCTCTTGTCATCATCTCCTTTACTGTGGAGTTAGTTGCCATTTATAAATTCTACTAACGACTGCTACGCTTGATATCTCTCCTTACTCTTTGCAGATTGACCTAAAAGATTTAGGTCTGTCGGGCCTGAAAACTCCTTTGCGGCCAACCTTGCGCTACAGGGTTTTTAAGGAATCACGAGAAACCATCATTCAGATAGCGGTTGCCGATCAGGACGTTATTAGCATCAACCACTCCCGTCTGGTCACTTTCAAGAGGGTGGAAGCAGAGCAGTTGGAATACTTTCAGAGCGGCTGCATCACACTTTTGATGTTCGTTGAACAGAGCGAATCTCCACCTGCAAGTGCTGTTGAGGTACGCCTAATTAAATTAAAGGTGGAGGATGTTGCCCAACACTCGACCGTAGGGGCTAAAGAGATCGTTACTCAAATATTTTCTTGTGTTTATATATTCGACCTCCAAAAAACAACGTTTAAGTAAAGTTGGCAAGTAAAGTATCACGTAAGACTTCCTCATTCCACTCGTGGCGATATGTAAGCTCCCCTCATAATTATTTATCATTTCTTACGCGGAGGATTCACAGAAGACAAGCATTAGATGGACTCCTCTTTTCCTGAAAAGAAATAATCGACTGCTAACAGAGCCAGAAGAAGAAAATTATCGTACCATCTATTTTGGGTCTATCTATTGTGGATAATCCACTGATTTGATGCTTGATATCTGCAGGCATGAAGGTTAATAACTGTGTATAGTGTGCAGCTCTGAAGCAGGATGCTTGCTTTTCTTGTGGATTGATAGGGAGCACTGTTAATAAAACAGACTATATAGGCTATGAAACAGAAAGGCCTAAGAGAATGCAGCGGCTCCATGGCTGAGTCGAACCTCTTGCCGCCGCATCGGGCAGTCGCAAAAGACTAGCAATACATGGCACTGAACTTTACCAGCTAGTACTTGTGGTGAAATTATCGTAAACCAGTCGGTATATGGTAAGATGGAACTGGCAAAAACAAGGGAGGCTGAGTTGCCAGTTCTGGCTTATAGTTTCTCATCGGCCAGTCATACCTTATCCCAGGGGTGGCGACCTTCAAGGTTCGAACTCGCGACCTTTTGATCATTGTGTACAACACTCTACCATGGCACCGCGGGCCTGTTGCCTTTGTTGGTCACGGTTGGGAATAGTATGATTGTAGGGTGCTCACCGATCTAGTTGCAGAGCCCTCAGAGTCTCATAGCGACTCCTGATGGTAAAGTGGAATCGACGAGGTTAGGGGAGACCGGAATGGTCATTTCTGACTTATAAGCCGTCATCAGGCAGTCATACACAATCCCAGATGTAGATCACCTGTCGTGTAAATGCCGCGTACCAATCAATTGACTGTCCCAGAAAGACAGACTCCGAACGGAAGCAGGCAATCACCACCCACGAATTCACACTCAGCCTGAATATAATAACAGAAGAGAGTTGCGGGTAGATACAAGCTACACTGCTTTAAGACTACACTGCATTCAAGCCGTCATTACCACGATGGCCACCCAGAACGAGGAACGCAGGAAGGCCTGCCATCAGTGAAAATGTCCGCCAACTGTGGCGTAAGCACCTAATCGAACCGAAGTGTCCCGAACAGTAGTAACGGCCTTATTTACAGTCCTGCGAGTGCTGCAAGCAAATTTCCTAAATTTGTAAATGTTTGATTATTTCT